CGGGAGGTTCGGCGAAATGAGTACTGTATCTACAACAATAACAATCAAAGTGTACATACCTGCAATGGATAACACTAGGACCACTATTCCTTGGTATCTGCCCACGCACAGTACGTATGAATCGTAGCAAAGAGTCTGGGGTTTCAGGCACACCGTGATCGGGCCAGGCAGTGAACTGGAAGTGGCGTACAGCTCGGATTTCACGATTCTAACAGTACAATTATTTGATAGGTCAATACAAGTCAATACTCAAGAAAAGAAAACCGGAAGAATGATTGCTTTAGTGACGAACTAATTATAATTAAGTATGGGAGTTAATTAATATTAAAGACAAAACTGCAATATGGATATAATGCATTTCTTTGCAAATGATTATGACACAGCTGTGTTAAAATAACTTTGGAAACTACATATAAAATGATAAATACCTCAACCTGTTCAAGAGTGAAGTCACGTACAGTCCATTCTGGTAACACAGACTCAGATGTCATAGTTATTGTAATACTACCGTAATCAGTCGGATCTGAATCAAACGGCCAATAATGATCACACTTTACCTGAAACAGAAATGAATGATAGCCTCATTTACTGGAATTCTCAGCTACTATTGTATATATTTGATAATAGTTGAAATCATACAATGCCCTAATAAGGACATGCCATCAAAGTTCAGAGTAATTTTTCTACTTACCCTTCCCTTCTCTACACACTGTGTAATCATAACTATGGTAGGAGAATTCTGTTCCCAGACCATTCTCCAGAAATCATTTTTACTTGTTGGAAGAGGTCCCTGTGTTGCTATGTATTCTCTTGGTGAAGTGTAACCCTATAAAAGATAGTAATCGATTAAATTATTATACATACAGCAGCAAAAATAATTTTTTTTCAGTATCACAGAGAGATAGTATATGAAATCACAACTGTTTTTAGAATAATGCAATACAAAATGTCTCATAAGTTGCAATATCTGGGAAATTAAGCTAAACAACACAAATACAGAACCTTTTAAAAAAAATGCTATTCAGAAAAAGTTAACTTACAAATATATAATTAGCATTGATGTACTCAGATTCCATATCATCTTCGTTTTCAGCCAACTTAACTCGAGTATGATCATCTAAAATATCAAATGAGTGTGTGTTA